TGCTCCCCCTTGGTGGCAGGGGTGGGGGGGGTGTCACGGGTGCTGTATGCCCACCCTGTGCCCGTGGGACCCCCTCCCCATGTTTACACACACACACACACACACACGGTTTGCAGAATAAAGGTGATGCTGGAGGTGGCCAGTGGCTCATGCGCTGCCGCGGGGGGCTGCAGGGACAGTGCCATGCCGGTGGCGTGGTGCCACGACGGCCGTGCCCCCACCGGAGCCCCTGACACCGCAGGGCAACCACCGGCACCGGGCAAGTGGGGCAGAGCGCCGCGGGCAGAGCTGGGCCACCGCAACCCGAGCGGTTATCAATAATTGAAGCTGCTCCGGGGCTGCCAGCACGGTGTCCCCTTTCCAGGCTTGGGGGGGACGGGTCCGTGGGGCATCGTGTCCATCACCGCTACCCGGTGGGGCTGCCGGCAGGGACATGGCCATCATGGTCAAATAGCCTGGCAGCGGGCGCCAGGATGGTGGTGGGCACTGGGATGGGTGAGCACTGGGATGGTGGTGGGCACTGGGATGCTGCTGGGTACCAGGATGTTGCCAGGTACCAGGGTGGGTGGGTACCAAGACAATGGAGGGTACCACAGCAGATGTGTGCCAGGGTGGATGCTGGCACTGGGACCAGTGGGCACTGGGACTGGTGGGCACTGGGGGGAAGGCAGCAGGCACCAGACAGCAAGCGCAGGAGGCCCTGGGGGCGATGCCAAGGCAGCCCCGGGGAAGGAGATGCGCTGGGGCACCCATTCCCCCCTTCGCCTGGGTCTGGATCGCACCCTCTGCAGCCCCAGCTCCGGGACTCCCGTTATTTCGTGACTCCCCCAGCTGTTCCCAGCCCTTGGGGACAGCCCGTGCCAGGCTGGAGGCACCGAGCCCCATGGCATCCCACAGCTTGCGGGCACGGGGAAGAGCAGTCACGCTGCGCCAGACCGTGCCATGAATTATTGAGGCAGGTAGAGGCATCGCCTTGGCCCCGTGCCACCTGTGCCTTGCCTCTTCCTTCCCGCCTCGGGTGGGTGGCAGCGGGTGGGTCGGACGGCTCCGGTTTCTGCCAAGTCACGGCGGGGCGAGGAAACCTTTGGAACCGGCACATCACGTGGGTGCTGGACAGCCCTTAAGGTGCGCCGACGGGCGCGTGGGGAAGGCAGACGCGCACCCGCAGCCATGACCGTCCCCATCGCCAAGTCCTTCTACGACCTGAACGCCACCTCCTTGCAGGGGGAGAAGGTGGACTTCAACGTCTTCCGGGGCCGCGTGGTCCTCATCGAGAACGTGGCGTCCCTCTGAGGCACCACGGTGCGGGACTACACCCAGCTCAACCAGCTGCAAGCCCGCTACCCCCGGCGGCTGGTCGTGCTGGGTTTCCCCTGCAACCAATTTGGCTACCAGGTAAGTCCCCGGGGGTCACCGCATTGCCCGGCGCTGGGCGTGAGGAGCGGGAAAATGCGACACGGCCCCGGCTTTTTCCTTCCCTGCCGCAGGAGAATGGCACCAACGAGGAGATCCTCAACAGCCTGAAGCATGTGCGGCCAGGGGGTGGCTTCGAGCCCAACTTCACCCTCTTCCAGAAGTGCCAGGTGAATGGGCAGGACACCCACCCCGTCTTCGCCTACCTGAAGGCTCACCTGCCTGCACCGGCCGACGAGGCGGCACACCTGATGACCGAACCTCGCTTCCTCACCTGGAGCCCAGTGCAGCGCTCCGACATCTCCTGGAACTTTGAGAAGTTCCTGGTGGGTCCCGAGGGGGAACCTTTCCGGCGCTACAGCCCCCGCATGCCCACCGCCCAGCTGGAGCCCGACATCCAGCGCCTCCTCAAGCTGGCCAAGTAGGGCCGGCTCTGGCATCACCCCCCCCGCCGCCGGCTGCCACCCCTCCCGGACAGCCCCAGCCCTCCGCCGGGTGACGGCCCCCTCCGAAACTGCCATGGGGAGGGGGCTCGATGGGGGCAGAGGGCCAGGGCAACTGGGGTGGCAAGGGCTGGCGGCAATAAACGAGCCACAGGGGAGCATACCCGCGTCCGTGTGGTTTGTGGGGGGCTGCCGGGGGACCAGCCGTGGGGCAGGCAGGAGGAAGCAGCCTCGGGGTGCTGGATCCAGGATATGGTGGTGCAGGGATGCAGCGGAGCCAGGCTGGCAACGCCGAGCTCCCCGTGGGTGTTGCCGGGGCTGGGCGCCAACAGCAGCACCTCACCCCAGGGGAGTGATTTTGGCAGCCGTGGCTCACCCGGCTCCCCACCCCCCCCACCCGCCCCAGGAACATGCATCCCCCTGCGGGGCAGGGCTGGGTTACACCCCACAGGGAAATGGGCCCCGGGGCAGGGAGGGGGGGTGGTGGTGTGTGCAGTGACCCCACATGGGCTCCCACGTAGCCCCTGGGGCAGCAAAAATAATTAAGTCACTTCTCAGCAGGGTTTGGGAGAGTGCTGGTGAGCAGAGCGGGCACTGGGATGCAGGGAAGGGCCAGATCCGCTACAGGGAGAGGAATTCCACGGGCTCCCGGGACGGGAAAAGCCCCCCCGATCCCTGCATTGGGCCCCAACACCCTTCATCAGCTACAGGGAGTCCAGGGGGGGTGAAGCCCACCCCCAAAGCACTCCCGCCTGCACCACCGAGCTGTAACACGTCACATTTATTGCCCCCACACACGTGGGCTCCTGAGGCAGGATGGGGCGGGCATTTTTTGGACCCCTTTTCGGAGTGACAACATGCTGGGCCCCCTTCACGTCTTCAGCACAAGGGGGGCTCGGGCCATGGTGCTACACCCCGTTCCTGCAGCCGGAGTCGGAGCTGCAGGGTAGCAGGCACAGCTGAGCCACCGCCAGGCACAGGGGAGCATCCAGCGTCAGGCATCCGCCACATCCAGGCTGGAGGTTTGGCGAAGAGAATCACGTTAAGGGACTGCACTGTTTCCAGGGATCCCCGTGCCAGGGATCCAGGGATCTCCTGGTGCCGCGGCTCTGCGCAGTGGGGAGCGGGAAGGAAGGATACAAACCGGCTTTAGAAGAGCGGGGTCATTTGGCGGGGGTCATCGGGCAGGATGCTGATGGAATCCTCGGCCCGGCCGCAGAGCAGGCACAGCATGGTGTACTCCTGCGGTGGGACAAAAGAGGGGGGGGGACTGCCATAGCCGTGGTCTGCCACAGCCCCACTCAGGGCACAGCTAGGGAAACCCAAGCCGGAGCCGGCACCCGATCCTCGATTGCAATCAGACCTGGGGGGGATCTTGTTTCGTCCCCCAGGATGAGCCCCACTGGCTCCCCTGAGCCCATTTTCCAGCATTTAGCTGCTGAATAGGAAATGTGCCAGGGAGGAGGGCTGGGAGAGCCGCAGGGCCCTCCACCACGCAGCCACGTTTTACCGCTCTGGGCCACGCACTGACATTCCCATACAGGGGCTGCGCGGGAGGTGAGAGGTGAGCTTGGCTACCCCCCGCCACGAAGCAGGGACTAGTGCCAGAGAGCTCCAGGTAGCCCCGAGCACAGGGATACGGCTCTGAAATCTTCCAGGCTGGCACCATGGCTCGCCTCCGAAGCCACCTGGCTCCCTCCTGCGGTTGCCAGGGCAGGCGGGAATGAGCGGGGCTGCCCATGGCAGGGCGGCTGCAGAAACCCGGTGGCAGAGAAAGAGCCCAGGGCTCGGCTTAGGATGTCTCCGGAGTCGGGAGAGGGGCTGCGGGGGGACAAGCCGCCCCCCCATGGCGTACCTGGTAGTCGTCCACCACGCTGAAGGTGTACTCGTGGCGTGCGATCAGGTGGTGGCAGTTCTTGCACAGGTCTGTGGAGGAGAGAGGACAGTCGTTAAGGGGCTGGGGGGACCCGGCTGCTCCCAGGGGGTATCCCCCCCCTCCCCAATCCCCTCAGTCCCTTGGGGACAAGCCCCCACCCTCTGTCCCTGCCCTCATCCCCTGGGGCACTGACACCCCCCGCCCCAGTCCCCGAGGTGGGTCCCAAGAGCATCAAC